TGTGGGTTGTTCCAATTTCAAAAGAGGCTATAAAGAATGGAATTCAGACTTTCTCAAATGAACACAGAACATATACTTCTAAGGTTATAAGTGCTTCTACAGTAACTAATCTAACAACCGTGTAAATGGGCGCTAGATCTGTAACTTGGATGGATAATCCCAATTTTATTTCAAATCTAAGGGCTCGATTCGGGTAAGAGTCGTTAATAAGCTACAGATCCAAATAAAAAATGAAGTAGTTTTTCGTGTGCCATAAGATCAAAGTAATAAGAAGAAGCCATACTTCGTTAATTAGCTACAGATCCACCACGGGAAAGGAGTAAAGAAGAATGGCAGAAACAGGAAAGAGGTGAGAAGGAGAAGACATTAGGAGCCACAAAACGCACATGCTTCCTCAGATCGGCAAATAGAAGAAGAAAATGGCTCTTCTTACCTTAGCTCTGTCGGTCGAGGGACGACGAAAGAGGAGAAGGAGTAGGGGACGCGAGGGAAGCAGCGAGGGATGACCTTAGGGTAGACGCGGGGAAGCAGCGGGAAATCACCAAGGGTAGACGCGGGGCAAAGGGTAAAAGTTTTGGACGGACGAAAGCGGGAGACGCGATGGTAATGCCGCTGCCCGCTTTCACTCCGCTTCCGCCGCCAGAATGCCCGAAGTCGCGAACCAAACAGATGACTTTCGTGAAAAGCTGCGAGTAATAACCGCGCCGCACCTAAAAAGCGCTCCAAAACAGACCCTTAATCTAATAAATAGAAGGTGAGAGTTTGGTGGGTATGCAGAGCGGTGCCGCGCAGCCAATTTTTTTTTTTTTTTTTTGTCGTTTGTTTCGGCGGTGAGGCAGCCGCTTCCCGCGGTTCGTAGGGGAAAGCAGGAAGCTGGGTATGTGCCGCTGCCCAGCTTTCTCCCACTTTTATCTCGCTGCCCTTTTTAGGAAATCCTATCCCCTCCCCTCCAGGATGAAGACAAATTTTTAAAAATGTTTAAATTTAATTTTTTTTCATACATATACACTTAAAATTTTTAAACATACATATATACATAAACAAATTTTAATAACATATATCTTTACAAATAAATAAAATTATTTTTATAGTAAATCAATTAAACTTTTAAATTGCCCCTATAAATATATATAAACACAAAATATCATAGTTTTAAATATTTTTATAGGAATTTAAAAAATATATATAAACACGTATATAAAACTTTAATTTATTTCATATGAATAATTAATACATAATATTTTTAAAATTTTTACAAATATTACACCTCCACATATAAATAAATAATAATTTTTTTACAGTTTTAACAAATCGGGCCAGTTTGGTCATTTTTACAGAAAAAACTACCCCGCAATTGTTTTCACACAGCTGCACCAAATAGACAACCAGCTTCCCCGCAGCTGCTTTTTAAGACAGGCAGCATGCAAAGCTGAGAAGCTACAGCTGCGCCAAGCAGACCACTAATATTATTAGGGCTGTAAAAAAAAGCTATTCGGTTCCTTAATGAATTTTTGTTTGATTCGTTCGCTAAGCAAACGAGGCGAAAATGAACAAATTCTCTTCGTTCGGTTAAATGAACCAAACACGAATAGTGATGCGTTCGTTCATGTTCGAATAGTTATTATTCGAAATATAAAATAATTTAAAATAATTATATATTAAAGGTTATGATATTTTAAAAAATTAAATTTTATAAATTATAATATATAGGAAATTAATAATAATAATATATTAATATAGTATATTAGTAATATACTAATATAGATATTGTATATTTTTATAATATAAGTTATGTCATTCGCGATCAGCTCGTGTTCGGCTCATTCGTTAAGAAACAAACACGAACAATGACTTCACGAACAATTTTAAAAACAAACTTATTTCAAACAAACTAAATTTCAAACGAACCGAACACGAACACAAGCTCTGTTCGTTTGTGTTCGGTTCGTTTACACCCCTAAATATTACTAATTTATGAATTTAGAATATTATTAATGATTGATTTTTAATGGTAAGATTTAATTAATTCAGGATTCAAGATATAGAAGTTTCACTCTCATATCAAGAAAAAAAAGGTCACGGCAGCAAAGAAAGGTTGGGGTTTATTTTTAAATATAATGAATTCAAAAATAATAATAATAATAATAATAATAATAAATTGTTACATAATAAAAATATATGTATATATATATATAAATTTTAAAGCTAATTTAAAAAAATTACATAAAGTAACTAGAAAGTTAAATTAGAAGGACCAACATTTTTTGTCAATATTTTATTCAAGTTATTTGAAAGAAATAATTAAATTTTGAAAGAAATAATTAAATTTATATTAACAAATAAAGATAATAACAAGCATAATAATAATAAAATTAATTATTATTATATGATACATCAATGATAAAATAAAGGTAAATAGCCATCTAATAATAAAATTAACATATAATAAATTAATAATAATTTTTTATGCATTTAATTTTAGACTTTTATTGGCGATAAATGAAAAGAGCGTTTGACAAGAGAATCATCAGTGATTGAAGTGAGTACTCATACTTTTAAGCTATGGTAACTTCTTGTTTCTTCTCAATCATTTTTCATTAATAGTTTATTAGTACTTGTAGCTACATACAGCATGCATTAGTATATATAAGATGAGCACATGAATGATATGGGCTATATATACTACTTGGATGTGTATGTTTGAATATGATAGAGTCGCCTTTTTATGATACTAACGGAAAACGTTAATGTATTTGTGCACGTAAATGGAAAAAAATAATGATGTTAAAGTACCTACAATTTTTAAACAGTGTTATTGTGATTGTTGTATAGATATAAAATGATATAGTTATGTTATTGATATAGTGAAACGCAAAGAAAATTATGAAATATTGTGAGTGATTCATATTTATAAACTATCAAATATTTTTAAGTTGATTTATTAAAGCTTAGCTGACTTGCATATTATTTTCTTTTGCATTGTGTTGATGTAGTCTATGAGCATGAATACTCACTGGCTTAAGTTAGTTCGCTATTGTTTTAAACTAACATTTCAAATTTAATTAATTGACTAAAAGATGAACAAATAAGAGAATATTTATAGAAGATGCGAAAAACCAATGTTGAGATAAATTTAGCTATTTTAATTCAATTTTATAGTAGATCTTTCAATATTGAAATGTTAGTTAGAAAAAGAAATTAAATTTTTCACCATCCGACCATTTGTACCCGTCTTAATTAATTCCAAGCCCAGGGCCGAATCGGGACAAAAATATTAATATTAATGAAAGAGTCAATAAAATAATTGCAAAAAAATTATAATAATATAACTGAAAATTTAAGTAAACTCTAATTAAGTAATTAAGTTCGTTCAAGCAAATGGATGCATCGAAATTATAGAAGAAGAGAGTTTGTTAGAAAATGAAGAAGTATCATCTGCTTTTAATGTAAATATGAATGTCCTGACCAAGATGATGGATGCCACGACTCATCTGATTCAAGAATCCTGGTTGCAGCCTATTAGAAGTAATAAAGTTGTTGTGAATAAGTATTTGAAGATATGCGTCCACATTTGTTCAAGGGAACTCAATATCCAATTCAAGCGGAGAATCAGATATTAGATAGCATGGCATGTCCGGATGAAAGAAGAGTATAGTTGGCTACTTTTGTGTTGGATGGAGAGTCCAAAAAAAGATGGTGTAGGCAACGTCAAGACAGGTCAGGGGACATACCTAAGAAGATGATAAGTTTGGAGGATTTTGTTGAATTTTTCAGAGAATGGTTTGTACCCCTATCCGCACGAAGACAGATGCAATATAAGTTCATTAAATTGGTGTTGGGAGAAAAGATAGTCATGCAGTACAAAGCAGAATTCACTGCAATATCAAGGCAAGTGTCATAGTTACAGATGAAAAGTGCTACAGATTCTTTTTTGGATTGAAGGATTCAATCAGACAGTTGTTGATGTCATTGGGAATTGATGATTATTCAGTGTTGGTAGAGCGGGCTAGAGAGGGAAAATTGATTATCGGCTCACTCAGAAGCATAAAAATACGCACAAGAGAAAATGATGATAAGGGAGAGAATATGGATCAGTCAGAGGGATCCATTGGGAAGAAACCCAACTTCAATTCTGATAATTTCAATTGTGACACTTCTCGAAGTATCGTAATCACTTGCACGGTGTGGAAACAGCAAAAAGGTGAATGTTTGATAAGCTTTCATACATTCTACCAATGTCGCTAGCCTGATCATAACCTCAGATGAGCATAAATCAATTGAAGTTCCTTCACAGAAAACTACAAGTTGGAAGAGAAGGATAGAACCCTTCAAGGCAGAACGTGCCAATTTATGTCCAAAATCTATAACAAGACGGGTACAGACGGTGGAAAATTTTCCAAGGCAAAATGTGCCAATATATGTCCAAAAATTATTATGGCTTCCCTAATTATAATAAGCTCATGTCAATATACACAAAAACCCTTCAAAATAACCGATCTACAGTTCGCAATCTAAGAAGATTGTACTAATATCTCTTCAAAATGATCATATCATGCATTCACAAACCACCTAGAAATAGTAAATTGCTCGAGATAGTTCCACTTGATCATGGATGACTATCATGACTAGTGAGTCGCACTTAACACTTGACACCTAACTTAATTTTATGATATAAACAAACTATAATCCAAAAGCCAATATGTTTTCAAATATTACAATGAACATTACTTTAAATTTTCAAATCCCATTTCAATTAATGTTTATGAACTATGAATTATTGTCGTCGGTAACTTTCTATTAAAGAAAGAGTAATTTTATTTCATCTAGAAATTTGAAAAACTATATATACATGGCAATCAAATTATGTCCACCTAAATAAGAATCTTCCAATCTCAATATACCATTTGAGCATGAATCATGATAGAATAGACATCAAATGACATGGATAGCAGCTTCATAGGTTGAAATAAGGAATTCAAATACCCCATAACAAAGTTTACCTGCCGTGCTGATAAAAGGAAGAAAAATAATGGATCAACAAATATTGCAACCAAGCACGATATAACAAAAAATTTGTTCCACTGCTGGACAACCTTGGTATGGGGATTCATAATTGGGAAATATGAATTTAAAAATGTGATTGTTCTCGTTGACCAGCCTTCAGCATCCCCATAAAGAATGTTATGAAGCTGCATAGAAGCATCACAAAAAAAAAATCAGAGCCACGGACTAAAGAGCG